AACTTACCAGATGGAGCGTAGAAAAGCCAGGGGTACTTAAGCTCCGTTGACAGAACTGTGCAAAGCCTGGCTGGAGAGTAAATTGTTTTCTTATTTCTGCAGAGGAGTGCCTTTAATTAAGCAGAGAAAAACCATTATAATTACAATTATCCCTGTACAAATTCCAAATGCCAGAGTTTAGCCACTTTGGTCTCCTGTTCCAGTGTTTACAGATGTATTTTAATGATGGTCTAGACTTCTTATGTTCTGTGGCTGACGCAAACCTCAAAAAACATTTGCGGTCCTATATAATTAAGATTCTGTCAATTTTCCAACAGATTTCTACAATAATATTATAGCACTCACAACCAGGAAAGGCTATGCAAGAAAGAACAGCTGTGCCCTCAGGTGAAGTGTGACTGCAACCTGTGCAGCAATACTTACTTGAGGATTCATTTCTACAAAGTAAAATATGGGATAATAGAACAGAGAAAGAAAAATGAACATCACAGAGGTAAATATTTTAATAATTTAGTAACTGACCAAGGGATAAAAACAAGACAGGACCACTCACAGAACAGTGTAAGCCCAGACTTCTGCTAATAATGCAGTGTGCTATGAAAAGCCTAAGACAAACCAAATAATGAATTTAAAAATCAGCCTATACTGTATAAGCTGAACATTTGAGGAAAAGACTTCTTAAATTCTAATTAACTGATTTTATTTGGAACAGAAAGAGGCCAGTACTGAATTCTACAGAAATCTCAGCATGATAATACAGTTGCATGTACCCAGTATTCAGCAATCAGAGTAGCTTGGCCATTTTTCATGGAAACCAATCAATTAATAGATAGTATGATTTAAGAACAATCAGTTTAAGACATGAAAATACAGGGACAGACGCTCCCTTCTATATGAGACGATTCCAAGTCCAGCAAGCATTAACAGACATCTTAGAATTACCAGATGCCACAGGACAATTTGATTGTTTGGTCTGCACCTTCTCTCCTCTGTGGCCTCTTGATTTCTATGACTACTGCACCTATTCTGTGACACTTACTACTGCT